TTGGGGACCGGCAAATCTGACTGCGGTTTTCGTACGAATTCTTCGAGTAAATCCCAGGATATTAGGGTCTGCTTTTATGTAGCCCACGATTGCATGCTTCTACGTATTATCAATTCATCATCCACTAGTTATGGTATCATTCGATACTGTATAAAGATATAAATGAGCTATTGACAGCGTCACAAATAAGCTGTAAACAAATGAAAGTCACATTAAAAATTATCTTTCCCGATGTGTTTCAAGAACACATGTCTGATTTCGGTAACTAAACTTTGGTAATAAAATATCTTATCAAATACAAAACCATCTTGTTTGACGTCATAATGACGTATGAAGCCACACAGTCTTTTGCCAGTGTTTGACGTACAACTGTGTAATCATTTGTTCATTGTCAAAACAACAACGAAAAAGCCGTCGCTTGCGAAGCTACGACAAAACAATGGTTTCCGATTCAGTTACATAGGCCAACATGCAAAACTGTTAAGAAATAAATGTTGTTTCTCCATGTTCTTCAGCTTTTATGGATTAGGCACTATGGCCTGTTCCAATTCGGAATTGCTTCTGAAATTATTAATTCTTTAGACATGTGGCAGGACTGCTTCTATTCTCAGTACTTAACAACGTTCTGATTAGTGCTAATTGTCTTTAATGAATTTATTTCTAACATTTATTTAATTTTATATTTCTTACATACTTACTTTTTAAATTGTGCAGTGCCATCGTGACCTCGTATTCATCCGTTCTGGACAGTGCTACATTATTACATCTTTGATTAATTTAAAGCTGTGTATATAATGCACTGTAGAGATAGAGGCCAAAATTAATTCATATTACGCACGCAAAGCTTAAAATGATGCGAAGAAATATCAAATTTTTATAAGTATAGCAGAAAATTCATTTTCTAAAGGCTTCAGTTTTGCCTAGTATGCTTTATAAACTACTGTGCAAGATTCCAGTTATTAAGAGTCCATAGACGTGGTTGGTGCCAGGATCGCCGTACCAAGGACCGTCCTCCGAACAGGACGACTGGTTTATATTTACAGCAAGGCGCTAAATACGGCTTCAGCCCATTAAAGCCACCCGAGAGAAACAACTCTTATTTACTACTTGTAATGTTTGAGAACATGGCACTGGCCTGGGGAAAACTCAGCTGTCCGTCCGCTTGTATCATCTTCGAATCTACTCTGGAGAAGGTTGAGGAACATGAAGCTAATCACTCGCTTCCATATACAGCAGAGTCCCGATTATCCAGCCTTCATTTATCCGACATCCGTTTTATCCGCCGTGCAAATACCAGCTACTGATTTCTCTATCTTTTAAAAAATTAGCAGGGGATCTTTAATTTAAATATCTAAATTAAGTTAAATACTATATTTGCTTGTGAGACTTTGTATGTGATGTCATATTGTTTTTTCTTTCTTTCGTAATTTCAACTTATAGAAAATTTAGTTAAAACTGGGTTGATTTACCATAACTTTTCATTAGTCTTCCGTATTATCCGACATTTTCCATTATCTGACCGTCCTTTAGTCGCAGTTCCAGTGTCAAGAACACACGGACATGTTATCTCCGCGTTCCTATTCGTGTTTATGGGCCAAGGATTGAAGCACAGGGACAGATATTCGTTGCTGCATACAAGAATAAAAAATATGATTTTCTTGTGGAGGACACCTAGTTTTGTACACCCTTTCCGGCAGGCCTATGGTTCCACAGCCTCGTCCATATTTTCATTTATCTATGACGTTGCCAGCTGACATCAACAATTTGTAATATGATGGCCATGACTATAAATACCTTTCTAATTGCTTAAGAGAGAGAGTGTGTGGATTGCAGTGATTATTAGCAATGCTCTCAACGCCTCCCGAGGGGAAGAACGCTTTCTGAAACGTTCAGTGAACAAATTGCATAGGGATACGAGTCTTACTGCCCATAAAAGGTTTAATTACGTTAACGGCGCAAGCTGGAGTTGAGAAAACGGAAGCGAATTTGCTATTCGTATTTGTAGGTTAAGCTGACAGGTTACTTGTTGATCGATTTGTACATAGGTTTACTAAGTATATAACTTTATACAGCGATGCAATTTTGGATGATTGTGAATACTGAAGCTGCAAAGTACTTAAAAAGAGGCAGTCGTGAACCTTGTAACTTACTGTAGAACTGTGGAAAACCACAAAACATTTATTGGGAATTTGAACCCGGGACATCCCGAATGCGAAGTGCCATCCGTTGTGCCAGATCGCAGTACGTCAGTAGAGATCTGAAAGAAACGCGAGACTTTCGTTAGTTCATCTGAAACTTAAGCAGGATATTAACCTCATGTTACAACAAGATTCCAGAATCCAACTGTAATGGTTCATCAGTTATTGTCATGGAATTTTTTAATTAGAGATAACCGCTTTATTCACGCAGACAAATGATTCACGTTTGTATTGTGATCCAATCTAGTGCTTTTCTCTTGCTCAAGACTGCATGTGGAAGTCATTAGCATCACGAGCATGGAGAAACATGCTTCTACATATCGATATTGGTATTCTGGGTCGTCAACATTTCGGAGTATCATACTGCCTCCATCTTCAGGGCTGGAGTGAGATTGTTGGGAGGACGAGGCTATGGGTAATTGGCCAATCAGTGCCAAGGATGTGGAAATTATGGGCATTGCCAATAGGCAGGCCCCATGCAGGGAATCGGAGACACGGGAGAGGTGAAAAGTGACCTTTTAAGAAGACAAAACGGAGGACAGAAACAAGGAAAGTCAGTCCGAAAAGTTCATATGCACTTGCAAGTTCACACGACGTAAAAACCCAGAATACCAACAGCGACATATTCACCGCCGTGAGAACCGAAAATCTCGTGTATATTTACATGTTGCTTAGACCCTGGACGTTGCAGTATTGTTTGAAAACTCCTTTATGTTAAGGCAAGTTGGTCTATTGATTGTATTAATATATATAAAGTGTAAATTAATAAACATTTCCACTTTTGCATATTCCTCTGCAACCTAAGTGTGTTTCATCTCAAATTGGCGTAACTTGGTCAAGAACGGTGGATTGTAAACCAGTTATACAAACTGAGACATTGAAATTGTTTGTACAGAAATTATTTGCTTTCAAGTCTTTTCAAAGGAAGAAAATAAGACCTAGGAACAAGGGTGTCAAAAACATGTAATCGAGTTTCGTCCTAGATGTGAAGTTATTCCATAACAGCGTGCGTAGCGCAGATTTCTCACAGGGCCTCAGGCCTCAGGCCTGAGTCCTGGGCAGGAGTTCGTCTCCTGGCACCTCAAGTAGACAGACAAGTCATTACGCGCAGAGACCAAGAGATGATTCGGTGATACGATGTCGCGTCGAATGGCTTGTGGTCGGGCGGTTATGAAAAATGGCCGCGGAGTGGTATGGGAAAAGGAACTGTTTCCTTTACGTGGGTATAACTCAGCATTCGCCTGAGGTGACAGAAAATCAGCGACAAAATCTCAGTCTTCATACCAGGTCCCGTTGATAAATCTCTATCAGACGACACAGCGCTACAGCCCAGAAGACTGCCATCTTCAGTTGTTTGTTCATGGTGAAACGTTTATCTATATTTTCGTAAGTACGACAGTTATTTATTTATTTACATGATATAACAGTTAACTTTAAATTGTCCTTGTGGCGCACAACCACGCGATGAAAACTTAGAGGGGGCGTAGTGGCGAAGATCCACGAATTCTATACGTCGGCCCTGAGGCAAGTGGTCAGTTTCATGGTCCTTGATGCTCGTTTATTGCAGACGCAAATCAGTTGCTTGGAAACTAATAAACAGCAGAGACCTAGAGAGGATGGTTTTCCTCCGAGAGGGCAAAGCCCCGCACTAGGCAAGCGACTTTAAGGAGCTATGACTGATTCTGTTCAGATATCAATAATTTTTGTCGTCTGTTGCTGTTATTCTTGAAGCGTCGTTACAACTTATGCAAACAGTTTGTAAGCCAAATACGCAATAGACGGTGAAGTGGAAAATGTTTGCTCAAACGCGATTAAAAGTGCCAAAGTCATACTGAAGGCGGGTTTCGAATATATAACCTCGAAAATCAAGAGCACCAACGTGTGAGAGACCTTGGTTTACTTCTGAATAATACAGACAGCCTTCCTACTTCTTCGAAGGAAAATCATAAATATCCTCAGTGTGTAACTTGTTCTTGTAATCACATAGAAACAACACCATTGACAGATGATTATGACTTTGTAATTGTTGCGATGGGGTGAGACTATTTGATGATTTCTGTCTTCTGGGTTGTTGCGCTGTGTAGTCTGGTCGATGTTAACCAACGTTTCAGAGGTCATACTGCCTCCGTCATCAGAGTATGAAGATTTCTGCCTTCTGGGTTGTTGCGCTGTGTAGTCTGGTCGATGTTAACCAACGTTTCAGAGGTCATACTGCCTCCGTCATCAGAGTATGAAGATTTCTGCCTTCTGGGTTGTTGCGCTGTGTAGTCTGGTCGATGTTAACCAACGTTTCAGAGGTCATACTGCCTCCGTCATCAGAGTATGAAGATTTCTGCCTTCTGGGTTGTTGCGCTGTGTAGTCTGGTCGATGTTAACCAACGTTTCAGAGGTCATACTGCCTCCGTCATCAGAGTATGAAGATTTCTGTCTTCTGGGTTAAAACCTCAAATCTTACGTGAGACTATTTGTCTGTGGCTCTGGGTTTCCAACGAACCCTTTGTCCATCCCCCAGATGATGTAGGCCTATGAGTCAATGTGGACAAGCAGAAGAATGATTCTGAACAGCGCAGCTAACATCACGCGTTCCCAACAAACGTTGGCGTACTTCCCAAAAAGCTGCCAACATCCGCTGGTTCGTTACGCGCGGACGATCTGATACGATCTTCCTATTACGTCCTAATTTTTTTGCGTTTCACGCAGAGAACGCCTGAAAACTCAAACCTCGTTTGATCTCGCGTTTCTCGCACAAAACATCAGACAACTTGCATACAGAAACTAACCTATGCTCCGATACAAGGAATAGAACAGAAAACAGATCAGTGATTTTAGACGAATACCGTTGTGCTCTGAGAATGGGGACTGTAAATACATAAATGTGAACCAATTCACAAATCAGGCGGCTAGACCAGCGTTTCTCAACCTATGACACGCGAGCCAATGTTGAGTGGTACGCGAACTAAGTAAGAAAATCAAAATATAACATTAACATAAATAAGTTTTCCCTGAACGCATTTGGTTAGGGGTACAATTAATGTGTTAAATTATAATTAGTGCTAAGCCAGCGAAAAAGGGTGAGAACCCCTGGGCTAGAAGCTTGACACTGTTCGCGAGCTGTTTGCTGGTGTGTACGTACCTTTGTATCCTCCAACAGTACTCTGGAATATAAAACCGGACCACACTTGTCAATCCGTGTTGGCAGTTACTTGCTGAGATTTATCTTATGATCCATCTAAAACCTAGGTCATATTCTTGAGCGCGGAATTAGCGTAATACCCGATAGGACATGCTTGGCAATGCAGAGTTAAGATATGCAAGTATCCAATTAGAAACGGATCTCGTCCTTGCCATCACATCGGTCAGGTCCATGTATACTTGGCCTCACTTAACTGAAGTCGACGATTCGACTTATTCCACCTCGTTTACGCCGTGAGTCTGCAAGTTCTGAGACAATAAAACGGTGAATATTCAGTGTTCATGGGAGAAGCGGAAGTCACTGGGGCCACACAAGCCAAGGCAGACTACGTACGTGGAAGATAAAAACTGCAAATAGTTTGGTCGAAACCCCGAAGGGGGAAACAGGGAGAAAAGTTTATTTGGCGACACTTTCAATATCTAGACGTCGGATGAAAGGGTGACAGTGAGTAATGAATTAGAAAGGATGTGGAAGGAAGCGATCGTGGCCTATTTAAAGTACTATCCCGGAATTTTCCTCGAGGGACTGAGCAGAACGACGAAAACGCAGGATAGCCGTCTCCAGGCCTAAATCTGAACCTCGGACCTCCCGAATACGAGAATGCGCTGATATCCAGAGTAAACTTTCTCTCAAAGCATTGTTGCTTCGTACTGACTGGATACCGGTGGAGCATTTCCTGGGAATTAAGGCGGCCGGAGCGTAAACCTAACTCCTTGCTTCTACCCAGTGTCGCGGTCACGAACTCGTTGAATTTTATTCACACCCAGTGTCTTACCTCTTGTGTGGCGTAATGCTCAGTCTCGTGGATAATCTGACTTGCTGTCGACTTTTCTCAGTCTCTTTTGGGAACGACTGGAAATTGAAATACAATTCTCCATTTCTTTTTATGTTTCCTTCTTTGTTAATTTGAATAATTGTCTTTTGTGTGGAATATTCAACATTCAGAGCGCAAAAATGTCCATATTCCTTTGAAAAAGCCTGTGCTTATTTGTTTGTTGTTTGTTGTTTTCAGGTAAACACAGAAGCGATTTAATTATGATGTAGCAATCGCATTAACTGTAAAATTCCCATGTTAAGTTATCTGTTAGATAACATGTAGGCAGGAAAAAATAGTTTAACGGTGTTCTTGTAGTAGATGATGATAATTCAGCATGAGAGATAATAGTCTTCACTCCCTGATCATTAAGCCATCTCGTGGACTCGTTTGCATCACAGTGTATATAACGCGTGTTTATGTTCGTCTAAAAAACAAGACTGGCAAGGTTTACTTTAGTCTGGAGGACATGTGCATTTGAAATGTGTTTTTTGCCCAACTTCATTGTTGACATAGTTAATGGATAATAACTATATTATACTAGTCATGAGTTATGTTTCCACTTGTACCTCTTTACATATAGACATAAACAAGTCTGAAGTGAATGTTATTCTTCGTACTCTGATCTACATTTATTTAGACTTGTGAAGACCGGTATGTGTTACTTCAACAACCTTAAATGCAGGCCATCTAATACCAAATTTCGTAGAATTCTGGGACGAAACACGCGGTCGAATAGGCACAAAATTCCTATCATGCACTTCGTGAAAGGAACTCGTACAAACTAACGACAAGCTGAAGATTTATGTCTTCTGGGTTGTTGCGCTGTGTAGTCTGGTCGATGTTAACCACCGTTTCAGAGGTCATACTGCCTCCGTCATCAGAGTATGAAGATTTCTGTCTCCTGGGTTGTTGCGCTGTGTAGTCTGGCCGATGTTTACCAACGTTTCAGAGGTCATACTGCCTCCGTCATCAGAGTATGAAGATTTCTGTCTCCTGGGTTGTTGCGCTGTGTAGTCTGGCCGATGTTTACCAACGTTTCAGAGGTCATA